AAAATCACTATCACAGACCAGGCACAGTGGCTCATGCCTATAATCCCAGCACTTTGAGAGACTGAGGTGGGAGAATTGCTTGAGCCTAGGAGTTCGAGAACAGTCTGGGTAGCATAGTGAGATCTTGTCTATACAAAAAATAAAAAATAAAAATTAGCCAGGCATGGTGACATGCACCTGTAGTCCCAGGTACTTAGGAGGCCGAGGTGGAAGGATCGCTTGAGCCCAGGAGGACAAAATTGCTGTGAACCATAATTGTGCCACTGTCCTCCAGGCTGGGTGACAGAATAAGATCCTTTCTAAAAAAAAAAAAAAAATTAACTTTTACAATTGCTATTCAATTCAGTTGGGTAAATGCCTAGATGTGAGATTCTTGCATCATTTAGTAAACATATATATATATATAACATTCTAAAAAAACTGTAAAACTTTTTCAAACTGGCTGTACCATTTTGGATTTCCACTAGAAAAAAATAAGAGCTCCCCTTGCTCCACATCTTCACCAACATTTCACTTTTTAAATTTTACTGTTCTGGCCAGGTATGGAGGCTGATGCCTATAATCCCAGCATTTTGGGAGGCCGAGACAAGACAATTGCTTGACAGGAGTTCAAGTTCAGCCTGGATGACACAGTGAAATCTCATCTCTACAAAAAAAATACAAAAATTAGCTGGACATGGTGGCTCGTGCCTGTAGTGACAGCTACTTGGGAGGCTGAGGAGGAGGCTGCTGTGTTTGCATCTGTTCGTCCATATCATCATCCGATGAGGAGGAAGGATATAATACCTACTCCTTCTCATCCAATAAAAAGTTGGAATAGGTTATTAGCGGTAACTAAAATTAATATAGTGATGAGGAAGATTAATAAGTATTTAAAAAAGCGATTGATATGGGGGTCTGAGTGTATATATCATATTGAGAATTCTATGATGGATCATGTGACAAATAAGGCTACTGGTATAAAAATTGTGGAGAAATAGTCTATCTTGAAGCTTAGGCATAATTTCATAGTATGAATCGTTATTCAATGTCAGTTAGAAATAATTATTTCTTGGTTTGTGTATAGAAATATGAATATTGGAACTAAGCTTGTTATGAATGCGCAGGCGATAGAGTTTTTTACGTAGTAAGGGTATGTATATATTTCGTACTTTTTAGTTGTTGTAATAATAAATGGGGTAATTAAGAGTGTAAGTGATAGTAAAATGGAGGATGAGAATAAATTTATTACTTTTATTTGGAGTTGCACCAATTTTTCGGTTCCTAAGACCAATGGATTACTTCTATCCTTTAAAAGTAAGAAAGCCACATTGTTATATATGGAGGCATGAGTTAGCAGTTCTTGCATACTTTCTTGGTAAATAAGAAATCTTTGGGTTTCTATTACTAGATTCACAATCTAATGTTTTGTTTAAACTATATTTACAGTATATGGCTCTTATAATTAATTTGGGGTTGGTGGATAGTAGGATTAGGGGTAGTAGGTGTATAATTATTAATGTATTTTCTCGGGTGAAAGGGGGCTTAATGTTGTTGATGTGATATGTATATTTTCCTCGCTGTGTTATAGTTAGCATATATAGGGAATATAAGGCGGTAATTAGAGTATTAAGGCCTATCAAGATAATAGTTAGGTGTGACCATGAAAATGCTGCTATTACTACGGATAATTCACCGATTAAATTAATTGTTGGGGGAAGGGCTAGGTTGGTTGAGCTGGCGAGGAGTCATCATGTTGCTGCAAGGGGTAAGAGGGTTTGAAGGCCACGGGCTAGTGCTATTGTTCGACTGTGAATTCGTTCGTAGTTTGTATTTGCTAGACAAAATAATAGGGAGGAGGTGAGGCCATGGGCAATTATAAGAGTAGTGGCTCCGATGAAACTTCATGGAGTTTGGATAAGGACTGCTACAATAACAAGAGCTATATGGCTAACTGAGGAGTAGGCAATAAGTGATTTTAAGTCTGTTTGACGTAGACAGATGGAACTAGTTATAATTATGCCTCATAGGGAGAGTATTAGGAAGGGATAGGCCATATGTTCTATTGGGGGGTTTAGGATAATTGTAATTCGTGTTATTCCGTATCCTCCGAGTTTAAGTAGAATGCTGCAAGGACTATGGAGCCTGCAATTGGGGCTTCGACATGGGCTTTAGGTAGTCATAGGTGAAGTCCGTATAGGGGTATTTTTACTATAAAGGCTATTATGCAGGCTAACCAGAGGATGTTATTTGACCAAGAGTTGGGAAGGCTCGGTATAATAAGAGTGTTGATTGTTATATTTAGTGTTCCTAGAAGATTTTGGGTATAAATAAGAGCGATGAGTAAGGGGAGGGATCCAATTAGTATGTAAAATAAGAAATAAAGGCCGGCGTTTAGTCATTCTGTTTGATTCCCTCATCGTGTAATAATAATTAGTGTGGGGATTAAAGTCGCTTCGAATAGAATATAGAAGAATATTAATTCTGTGGCTGTAAAAGTCATGATTA